AAATCGGACATACCCAGTTGGGATCCAAGTTTCCCTGGAGTGTTTTCAGAAGGAGACCCAGTCCTCCCCTGGTCTGTCAGTCTGGAAGCTCTGCTGGCACTTTGTCCACCAGGGGACACACAGGTGCCAGAGCATGGGCTACACTAACACACATGGGGGCACTTTCCTCTCCACCTTCCAAGAACCTGGCATTGTCAACAGAGATCTCATCCGCTATGTCATCGGACCACTATGGACTGCCTCTGTTTAGCCTGCTCTCAGTGTTGATGCTGCAAAGCAGGGTGGGGAACCGTGTTTCTGTCAAGGGCCCTTGGGATATTTCTCACATCATCTGAAGGCCATGCTGGTCAAACATTGAGTTCACTGCCCCCACGTGTGATGGCTGGCACGGCTTCTGTGTGTGTGTGATGCCAGCTGGGATGGATGATTTTGCAGGCCCTCTGTGGCCTGCCACAGGAGCCCTGGTGGGCTAGCAGTTGTGTCGGGGCTACCTTCTGCATGGTCGGTAATTCAAAACCAGCAGCAGCTCTGGGGGCGAAAGACGGCACTTTGTACTCCCGTCAACACTACAGTTCCGAAACCCACAGGGGTTGAGTCAGCACTGACTCGATGGCAGTGAGTTTGGGTTGGTTTGTCTGGCCTGTGGGCTGCACGTGCCCCACCTGCTGGGGAAGGAGGCCCATTTATCTCCCGGCATTCCCCGGCCTTGCTTGCCCTTTGCCTGGCAAAGCGCTCCCTCTTTCTGGGACGAGTGATCAACTGGAGGGAAGCAAGTTCAAAGAACAAGACAGTTCTGCTCGCTTACCAATTTCACTGGACTTTAAAGTTTAATAGCCCCGTGCTGCCGAGGATGCTGACTCCCAGTTACCCGGCGGGGTTTCCAAGCCGTAAATCTTTATGGAAGCAGACTGCGAGGTCTTTCCCCGGGAGAGCAGCTGGTCAGTTTAAAGTGCTGACCGCTTAACCACCGCGCCACCAGTTCGAGGCCCCACACCCAAACCCACACCACCGAGTGGATGCTCACACAGAGCTACCCAACCTCACACACTAGAGCTGCTCCTTGGGGGTCCAAGCCCCCCCTTTCTCCAGGGGCAGACAGCCCCATCTTCCTCCCACGGAGACTGCCGGGCTCGAGTCCCTCGCTCTCAGTGAGCTGTGCGGTGCATGACCCAGTTCAGGAGCATCTACAGAAGTGGGATGGGAGTGCTTTCCTGTCGTCGGTGATTGACTCTCCTCGAAGAGTCTTCGCGTCTGCTTCAACAAGTTTTACAGCAAGCTAATTAAAATACATTTTAAGAACCAACCTTATTTTAGTCAAGCTGTGCGAGATGCTTTTCACGTAGAATAGTGACAGACAAGAGTAAAATTTACATATGAAAATCACGACAATGGGTAGGACTGTGCTGAAATAGTGTGCAAATAATGTTACGCAGCGTAGTCTCAAAGCACACACACCAATGCCCATGAGCCCTACACACAGAGCCCTGAGCCGTGCTCCGCTGTGTCACAGAGGTGGTTAGGAATCTACTTTGGCATGTGGACAGAAGCACTTTTTAAAGAGTAGTGTACGAACGCAAGAGGAGCCCTGGTGGTGCAGTGGTGACGCATTGGGATGCTAACCACAAGGCCAACAGTTCAAAACCACCAGTTCTTCTGCACGAGAAAGATGAGGCTTCCTCCTCCCATAGAGATTTCGTCTTGGAAACCCACAAGGACAGTTCTATCTGCCCTGTCGGGCCACGATGAGTTGGATGGGACTCGGTGACAGGTATGCCAAAATACGTGTGAGGTACATATGCATGTGTGTGTTGCGTGATGTGAGTGGCATGTTTTTGTGTGTGGTATGTGTGATTTCCATGTGTTGTGTGTGGATCCTGTGTGAGGTTTGCATTTTTGTGGGTATGATTAATGAGATATGTATATTTTCAGTGTGCTACGTGTGACTAGTATGTATTATGTACGTTGTGTGTGAGTTATGTATGTATGCGGTATGTGACGTTTATAGATTTTGGCGCATGTACTATATGTGACATGTATGCCTTTGTGTGGTATATGTGATTAGGATCTATTATAGATGTAAGCTGCATGTGGTGTGATGTTTGTTTTTTGATGTGTGCAATATGTGTGATGTGTATTTTGTGGTATAATTTGCATGTGGTGTGTGTGGCATATTTGGCATAGAGATGTGTTAGATGGGGTATGTGTGATGTTTGTGGTATCTAATGTGTGTGGTGTGCGTGACACATCTGTCATGAGTGTACAGAACATGTGATCTGTACATGTGCTGTGTATTAATATGTGGTGCTTCCTGATGTGTGTGAGACACGTTTGTCATGAGCATGTGGAACATGTGATCTGTACATGTGCTGTGTATTAATATGTGGTGCTTCCTGATATGTGTGAGACACATCTGTCATGAGTGTACAGAACATGTGATGTGTACGTGTGCTGTGGATTAATGGGTGGTGCTTCCTGATGTTTATGCGACATGTCTGTCACGAGCATGTGGAACATGTGATCTGTATGTGTGCTGTGGATTCGTGGGTGGTGTTTTCTGGTGCATGTGTGACACGTCTGTCCGTCTGTAGGGAACATGTCGTTCCTGTGTGCAGGACACGTGAGTAGGAGCTCTTTCTCATGATTCAACACTAACCCACAGGCCCTTGCAGTTGTGCTGACACACAAAACGGGACCCTGTCTGTTGACTCACGTGGGCTCCCCGGCTGCCCGCCCGGGCGCCCCTCTCCCGCTCCCACAGAACCACACTCCGGTGCCACAGGCCAACGCCAGTCGGGCTTGGACAAAACCCACTGCTGGTTCACAAACCCGGTCAGCCCAGTCAAATGCAGAGGTAGCTGGAACTTTGCTGGGTCTCACCCAGAGGGAGCTGATGGGACCTACTGCCTCTGGGAGGGAGCGGCTATGAGGCGGTTCAACTCAACTTGGCAACTGTTAGCTTCCTCCTTCTTGGTCTCCTCCTGAGTGGAAGGAAGGCCTTTATAATGCTCTGTGAGCAAGGAGCTTACACGGTCATGCTGATGGCCCTACCTCTGACCACCGGGAGGTGTTGAACATCAGGGTCACATACACAGAGGATAATTCCCACATCTTGGGGAGAGTTGCCTGCAGCATGGCTGCAAAGAAGGCTTAGCAGGGAGGCTGTCTCCAGGCTGCCCACGAGGAGGTGCCCCGGGCCGTGAGACCCTTCCCACGTGCTCTCAGGGCCTCAGGAACCACCTGAGACCAAGCCTGTTGCCTGTGATTTGATTCGTGGCTGGCAGAGTGGAGCTGCTCCCCCAGGCTTCCATGGCTGCTCCTTCGGAAAGGAACCCTGGCGGCACAGCAGGTGAAGCACTGCCCTGCTATCTGAAAGGTCACTGGTTCAAGCCCACCGGGATCTTTGTGTTAGAAAGGTGAGGCCGTCTGTTGGCACAAAGCCTGGCTGCTTTGGACACCTGGAGGAGAAGTTCTAGCCTGTCCTGCAGGAGAGCTGTGTGTTAGCGTGACAGCAAGGGGTTTGTTCGTTCGATGTCACAGAGGGTGATGGCTGGCTGGATATCCACCTATGGGCTGCTGGGCGGGTCAGGATCCCAACCGTAGTGGAGCACCCCCCCGCTGGTGCCACATCTTGTTGCCGTTTGATCAAGAATAGGAAACAATGAGCTTACCTGAGACCGGAACAAGTGCTGACACTGACCGCTGATCCGGGATGACCGAGCACATGCCCGTGGTAGTAGCAGTGACCCTGCGAGGAAGGAGGAAGCAGGTTAGGGGAGAATGGCTCCTTTGTACAAGGAGCGATGGTCTTTTCAGCGGCCTCGTGCGCATAGGAAGGTTGAACACAGACTACGGAAGACGGAAGAAGAACCGATGCATTTGAATGAGGGTGCCGTCGAGGAAGATTCCAAGGCCCAGGGACTGCCAAGAGCACACAGAGCTGTTCTGGAAGCGGGAATGTTCTTCAGAAGCCAGGAATGGAGAGACTTTGACTCACAGACTCTGGGCCTGTGGTCAGGAGAGACCAGTCCCTGGGGAAGGACTTCACGTGGGATAAAGTGGAGGGGCAGTGACAGACAGGAAGTCCTTTGACAAGATGGATGGACACAGTGGCCACCCCAGTGGGTTCAGGCATGGCAACATCTGTGTGACCACGCGGCCTGGTCAGTGTTCATTCCGCTGTGTGTACTGCCCCGAAGAGGAGGTTCCGACCCGACCCGGAGGCACCTATCACCACCACCACCCAGGGCCTGCCCTCACGGCTGCTCCCTCTGGGCTGTCATGTGAGAGAGACTGACCCAGTGTTCATGACCTTTAGCGCCAAGCCCATCATGACCCAATCTGGGATTATACCACCCGATTACTTACCAATCACAACCAGGGCAGTGGACGCTCCCAGTGCCACCCTGAACCACAGCCTTCCTGAGAGCCCTCTCATGTGAAATCTGCCCTGAGCTGGCACCACAAACCAGGCCACATCCCCACCCTCCCCTCCGGTGAGGGGTCTTGCACAAGTAGATGGGGAGCCGGACAGGGTCTTTAAGGGCACTGTGAGAGGTGAGAGAGCCAGGCTGACTTCTGTGGCTTATGCAAGAGGGGAAAAGCAGATGATGGGAAGGGGACAAGAAGGGAAGGGGGACAGGAGCCCACCACATGACCCACCGCTGAGCTGGACGTCAGTCTCAGCAGCTAGGACGGGGCTTCTAAGTGCAGATGGGGGTCCTTGGGTGACAGGCCTGCTCAGCTCTCTGAGAATGCAGCCGTTTGCAAAAAGGCACCACAGCAAGGCAGCGCCCCAGTGCAGACAGTGGTGACGTCCAGGAGCAAGGTTGGTTCTATTCTTGTAAGGGTGGGGGCGTAAACCTGTGGGGGGGCTGGCTGGCCAGGCACACCCGATGCAGTCTAGGCAGCTCTATTTTCTGGCCCTGTGTGTGCCAGCTAGACTGGGGTCCTGGCAGACTAAGGTGGTGCCTTCCAGGAGAATCCTTGTGTTTCCAACTGTGCCCACGTGCCCGCCGTGGCACATAGCTCCTGTACCCAGGACAAGAGCCGTCTGCCTTTCCCAGAGCTGGGCTTGGTGTCCAGTTGTTGATGAGACACTGGCACCATCTTGACTTTGCTAAGGACGAGGGGCCAGCTGGGACTGAGTGGCCGAGGCCATCAGCCATTGCCACGAGAAGGGGCTGGACATGTCCTGTCTCTGGCCGCTTCGAAGGCACGGCTCTGGGACTCATCTGGGAGACAAGAGGAAGCGATGACAGCACCCCTCCTGGCACAGCTGCGATTTTGTGTGTCTTGTTGGTCTTTGGGGGAGCCCTGGTGGCATAGGGGTTACGCGTTGGGCTGTCATCGGCAAGGTCAACAGTTCGAAACCACCAGCCAATCCTCGGGAGAAAGATGGGGCTTTCTCCTCCCGCAGGGAGCTGCGCCACCCTGTCCTCTGGGTCGCTGTGAGGCGGCACTGACTCGATGGCAGCGGGTTCGGGTTTTGGTCGACTGATCTTTGGCCTGCGGTGTGCACCCTGGACGTGAAGATGCTGCCTGCTGTTGGGCCAGTCAGAGCGCACACCGACCCCCAGCATCGTCGGCGGATGGTTTTTTGGAAAACCCCATTGCCAGGCCTTTCTTCTGAGGCACCTGGGATGGGACGGCCCGCCCTCCACCTTTCAGTGGCGGCATGAACTGTGAGTACATCTTCCAGGGGCTCTTGCTCGACACAGTTTCTTTTAACTTTGCCCGCGAGGTCTTTGGTGGTGAAAAACAAAAACACCACCACAAAACAAACTACTAATTTTCACGATGCCAAATGTCCCCCCCTCTCCCTCTGCGCACTTTGTGCATTACCGAAGGCAGCAGCTTTCTTCAAGGATCTACATCTGTTCTTTATTTCCTCCTCCTACTTAAGCCTCGCTCCTTAATCTATCTGGAATTTATTTCTGGGGGTGGGTGGGTGGGTGGGGGCTGAGGCTGGAATCTCGCTGTCCCCCCCACCTTCCTTTCCCAGAGCAGGGCTTGCTGGGCCCCACCTGGTGTCCCTTTCTCACGGGTTGACAGGCCAGGTATACAACTCCCTTTTTCTTCTGGGGGCCGTCTCCCCAAGACACCGTCCCCTCAAGACACCGTCCCCTCAGCGTTAGCGCCTGTGCCAATGAGCCACTGGGTCGGTTTGTGTGCTCGGTGCTGCACGACGCCCGGGATCAGAGCAAGGCCTCTTTTTGCCGAGAGCAGAGTTCACAAAACGCTGGAAGATGCCGAGGTTTCTCGTGTAGCCGCAGTCTTTTGCAACTATCGCTGCGCCTGAATGCCGAAACATTTTCACCCATCCCCCAAAGAAGACTTGGCCGCCTTCGCAGCCACTTCCCATCTCCCCGAGGGAGCCCTGGGGGAGTAGTGGGGGGCATGCTGGACCGCTAGGTGCAGAATCAGCAGTTTGACACTACTAGCCACTGTTCCCGCCAGGCGTCAGCATCGGCTCGAAGGCAGTGCCGAGTATGTTTAGGAAATGAGCTTTGCATGCTCATCACGCTCACAGTCCTCTCTCCTTTTGATGGGGTTACTGTGTGCGATCGAGCTCACCGTCCTGACGTTCATTTCCTGGAGGCCTGCGCATCTTTCCATTCGTGGGCGTTTGTAGCAATACATATTCCAATCTCTTGGCCATTGTAGAATGGGCTTGCTTGTCTTTAGGTTGTCAGAAGTCCTTAGATCATCTGGATATTAAAAATCCTGGATATGATATGACTTGCAAATGTTTTATCCCGTCCTGTGAGTTCTTCTTCCTTTGCTTGTTCAGTAGATATTGTTAAAGACATCGTCTAAACAAACTATCGGTAACCTGCTGTGCCTTCAGATGTTGATCGCGTGCTGCTTCCTGATGGCACAGCCCGAAGGACATGTCGTCCTCGATAAGCCCACACGGCTCTCCTACTGATGCCCCCCATTTACACGGGGAGGCCCTGAGGACAAGTGCTGGCCGATGCGCTGCTGCCGGGTGCCACAGAGTCGGCTGTAACTTACCGTGGCCAAGGTAACAGAAGGCGATTGGCTGGCCCTGTAGCATTTTCTGGAATAGAATTTCCATGGACTCACAGTGACTCACAAGAGTAGAACAGCCCCTGGGGTGTCCAAGATGATGGCTCTTTATGAGTTCACGTCTCTCCTGTCGCTTGGCTGGTGGTTTTGAATCGCTGACCTTGTCGTTAGCAGCCCCCACGCAAAGAGCACGACACCGCGCGGCTCAGGATTGCTCCCACGGCAGCGAGTTTGTATCTCTTCAGGCTTCATCTCTATGGGGGCAAATCTGTGCCCGATCTTCTCTGTCACGAAGCCCCTGAGCAGGTTTGGAGCCCTAACCCTGTGGGAAGCATCCAAGTGCTTTACCCGGGTACCACAGGGGTTCCTTTGACATGGTCTGAAAGGCCATCAAGTGCTAGAGAGAATCGCTGAGACTGAAAGGCAGGTCACCTGGCAGTAGACGCCCTCCACTGCTGATGACACCCTGAGGGCCTAGCTAGAGGGGCCTCACGGAGGGAGGCAGGCAAGAGCTGAAGGGGCTACTTTCAGCGGGCACTGAAAGGCACAGGGGTGGGGTAACTTTCAAAGCCTCAGAAGCCTGCACCTTTGGCAGCCACACTGATGTCATGTGACTGTCTCAGTGGGTCTGTCTGATTTCCTGTGCCTTTATGAACCGGGACGGTCTAAATATCGAAGCCTCATCTTTTCCATTTGTTAACATTTGGTTGGCTTGTGCTTCTGCTGTCGTATCTCAGAAACCATCGCCAAATCTGAGGCCAGGATGAGCTACCCTCATCTTATCTAGGAGTTTTATAGTCTTCACTCTTACACTTATGCCTTTGGTCCATTTTGATCTACTTCTTGTATATGGTGTGAGGTAAGGGATCTAACGTCATTTCTTTACGTGTGGATACCTAGTTGTCCCAGTACCATTTATTTTAAAAAACGGTCGCTTTTACCCACTGAATCTTCTTAGCATCATTGAGAGAGCCAGAACTCTTTTTGCTATTGCTTTTTACTCGTTTCTGGTCTACTATTTGGAGCCTGGCGGTGTGGTGGTTATGTGTTGGGCTGCTAATCAGAAGGTAAGCAGTTCAAAGCTACCAGCCACCCTGGGAGAGGACGATAAGGCCTTCTACTCCCATGAAGAGTTACAGTCTCTGACGCCCACAGGCGCCGTCCTGGTCTGTCCTGTAAGGTTACTTAGAGGAGCGATAGACTCAAGGGCAGTAATGCCCGTCTTCCTTCGATGTGAATTTCAGGAGCAAATTGTAAAACTCTAATAATCCATGGAGATTTCTGCTGGAACTCCATTGAGTGGCTACATCCGTTTGGGAAGCTCTTGTGTTTTTATAATAAAGAGCTTTCCTATTCCAGCACGAGGGTAAGTAAAAAGTTTTGCCGCATGACCATGGAAACCACTCTTAAACAAAAAGATCGAAAGTGGAGTTATTGCTTCCTGCCGCCTCTGCACGTCGGTCTGTACACTTCGGGGGGCCGTCCCCACCCTAACCCTGCTCTGAAGAATCTTCAAGCTGGCAACACCACGTCCAGATGGCAGCGCCACTTGTGTTCTTTGAGAGATGCCCTTTGAGTTCTGGGAACAAAGAGGTGTCCGAAGGGGCAGGCCCAGACTGTAGGTAGATGGGGTCGGGTGACAGTGGAGTGATCCTAAGGGCAGATCTCGCTACCTGCACACAATGAGCAGGAGCAGGGTGGGCACGGCCTGGTGTT